ACTCCCCTTTTAAAGCTGAATTGAATGGTGGTAAGTTTTTTAAAATCCAATGTGTGGATCACATAATATTTCAAAAAATTTAACTTTTGAGTATAGATGATCTGCACTGTATCCCTCGCTTTTATATAATGCATTATGTGGATCTTTATGGTTTTTATTTCCGAAAAAAATTTCTTGCTTTATTAAATGCCTATTTTTATGAAAAATGTTTACAACAGCAAAGGAAATCTATGGGCCACTGTTTTCTGATAAGAATAGTGGGTTATTGTTTTTGTAATGGTAACACTGTAATACTATGTAGGCACTAATTGTACAATATTGATTTCCAATGAAATTGACATTATGAATGATCCTCTTGAAGAAGCAATTACAAATGTCAAATCGGAAATTGAACCACAAATAATAATAATTCTTTTGAAGAAACTGAGGTCTTTTTGATAGAGTGGATTCTTTCAATATATTCCTATAATATATTTTAAAATTTTCTATTTTTTTTTTTATAGTCAAATAATAATGTACATATACCTATGAACAAAGAAATTGAAGACACAATAAATTATGGTGAAATTAAGAATACTACTTGCAATACAAGATTCTGGTTGAAAGTTCTGACAGATGTTAGAACCAAAAATGGGATACAATTATGACAATAGTGAAATTGTTGTTATAAATCAGTTACAAGAAGAATTGATTCAATTTTTTCAAGTGTTAAACAAAAAAGACAAATCACCATATGCATCAATATCAATAAAAAATTGCTTTGCTGCTATACATAGGTATTTACAGCAAAATTCAAAAATTTCTCCTTTATGATGAATGTATGTTTCCAAGACTTCACAAACATTTAGATGGCAAAATTAAAAAAATACAAGATTTAAGCATAATCAAACAGAAAAAATCTGACTCACTCAAATATGATGAAATTTACCAAATTTTAACACATCCTGAGTTAAACAAAGGCACACCATTATCCATCACTTATAAAACCTATTTTTGGTTATGTTTCTTGTGTGGTTTTTGTGGTGGAGATGCTCAAAGATTAAAATTGGCAAATGTGGAATTAGCAGCTATTAATGGACTGACAATTACAATTCCTTGTGGAAAAAACAATGCTGGCTATAGTTTGCTGAAAATCTCTATAAAAAACTGTAATAATGTTCAAATAAATCTTCAAAAGATTAAATTTTTAATGTTTATAATTGATTCATGATATGAAATCGTTGTAATTCTTGCTTTTGTTGTATTTAGAAAAAAAATTAGAGGTTGGAATCATCCAAAAAATCCTTAGTTGACTACTAGTTGATCAAAATTTCTTTTAGTTGACTATTTAGTTGATTAATTTAGTTGACTATTTAGTTGATTATTTTAGTTGATTATTTAGTTGATTATTTTTAGTTGACTATTTAGTTGACTATTTAGTCGACTAAATTTTTTTAATACTAGTGTGCAACCATTTGCTTCGCAAAATGGTCACACACTAGTCACAGGAATAACAGCCTATTAAATTAGAATATTCATTCTGTTTCATTATTATTAACGGTTTTTTTTAATTTACAGATTACAAATTCATCTCCATTTGAATCTTTAATTTTCTTGAAATACTTCCATACGAAGCTATATGTTATAATTCATTTTTTTAAAGGTCTGGAACCACTGCTTGAGCTCGAAGCCAACAAATTGTTGGAATGATTTGACCTTGTATCAATGTTTATTATTTCGCATGGATAATTATCGCCAACACCAGCACCAACACCACCATTATCATCTTCTTCATAATATTGATACTCCGCATATTTATTTTTATTATTTTCCATTATTTTATTTTTAAATTTTTTTGTACACAGTGAGTCTCGATTTAGCAGATTTAGGGGTTTAACGGATAAATTTTCAAAACCAAATTTTTCTATAGTTGGCTTGATCTAAAGACCTCCTAAATTTTGGGCATATTTTAAAAGTAAAGAAGTCGCTTTCTGTCCTAACTTTTAAAAAATAGCTCCATTAGTTGATAGAATATGTCTTTAATTTTGATGTAATAGAGAGATTTTCTCAAAAAAATTATTTGTTGTATGGTGCAGGTCATCTAAAGACATCAAATGCTGTGCTGCACTGCCAAATCTTCAAATCCCAAAATAGTAATGATACTCTTTTGTGTCACAGGATTATAACATCACATGACTCAATCATTTTATCATATTCGTTAATTAGTAATATATAGCAATGTTACTATTGCTATTACGAATAATTCATAAATGGAAACATTATCCAGGGTCCTGGTAACAGTAAAC